CCCGATATCTTGTGGGTCAGCGTGTCAGCGTGTCAGCGCTGCGTTGTGTTGTACTACATACAGCAGGTGCGTCACAGCAGCAGAAGAGAGACCACCGTACACCCCCCGGCCTTTTGGCCCCTTTTATTTATTTATATTTTTGGAGAGATCGCCTCTCTTCCTTTGCGTTAGCCCCGAGGTGTACGATCTGACAAGAATAAGACGGTCGCCCCGGCGTGTCCTCAAGGATTGCGGTTTCCACTGCTGTTTAGGAACTGCTTGCTTGATGTTATGCTATTTCTCGCGTCTTTATTGTTTTTGGTCACTTGCACGTATGCACATATACAGTTAAGAAAATAGGGTTAAGAAACATAGCTCAACCTGGGTCACACAATAAGAAATCTCTCAATAAGAAACACAGCGGCGACCGCTGCGCTACTACATAAGAAACGAGGGTTTACGGGGGAGTGTGTCGAATAAGAAACAAACCCCACAGCTCTCAAGCTCTTTCCCCCTCTCCCCCGACCCCCCCCTCCCATAGTGAAGCGTGGGGTTCTCGTGAAACTCGGGTTGGGTTGGTTCGGAGGGGTAGATAGTCGCAGTTCTCACCCCGCTTCGTGGCAGGAGTACGACTACCGCGTCATCCTGCGCTGTGACGAAAGCACGCGTAAATTTAGCATGAAGATGCCGTTGGAGTCGTACAGCACGGATGAAGACGTCGCAATTGGGGCGTGGGTTCTCCTAGAGGTAGACCCAAAGGAAGGGAGCAGGAGGCGCAAAAGGGTGACAACCCCCAATGTTCGCCTCACGGAGCTTGCAACATCATGACGGGGTAGTTTTCGTTGTTGGCACGTCAGCGTGCGGGTGAGGCACCATGCGGTGTTTATGCATTTGTTTAGTTTCAGCCCTCACTCATGAGGGGGGTACAGGACCTTGTAGCGATAGCGAGACGTTGCCGCTGGATACATTTCGCTTCTAGGGAGTGGCCTTACGTGCAGCCGTCGGTAGTGAGAATCGGGGTTGAGTACGGGGGTCGAGGAAAGCAGTGCAAATCATTTGTATATTTGGAACGTTGTGTAGAATGCAAGAGGAGAAATAATGAGAAATTGCCGATTTAAGAAATCCAGCAGGATTTGGCTGCACGAGCAAATAAGAAACTTGGAATATGAGACTGAACGACATACCCTGAGTATATAGAGTGGGCCTTAGAACCGGCAGGAGAAACCGGAAGGCGTCAGCCCACCGTTGCAGAACTGGCAGCACACGATGGGGAATCTACTACGCCGAGGAAAGCCCAGCACAAACTGGGCAAGGCGATTAACAAGATACAACTTGAAAAGTTCATGGAGTCTCTGGAGCACCTCCCCCAGGAGGCGGTACCACCCACGCGGGACAACCCCTACGGAGGTCAAGAGGCCAGGAACATGGCATACGCACGAACGAGAAGCTCGCAAGGGCAAGGGGGGCACGCGTTCCTGAGAGCGGCTCCCACCGACCGAGCTCGAGAGATTCCATCGAACGAATTCGTCTACGCGACGAGACGCGCCTTGGGAGTTGAAGAATTCTTGGCGGAAAGATGTCCCAGGTGCCACAGAGGCAGGGAAGGCGAGATCATCACAACGGTGCACGCAAGGACCTGTCGAAGGGATGGAGCACAGGTCAACATGCACGAGCCGTTAAAATACGCACTATCGAGAGCACTCAACGGCCTTCGCGTCAAACACGACGTTGAAAGCGGGGCACCGTTCACGGGGGAAAGAAACCTGAGCATGGACATCGTCATCAGGCCAGGAGCCCTCACGAACGCATCTTCTCCGGGGTACCGCAACAAAGGAATACTCCTCGATGTCACACACGCAGACCCGCAAGCACAGGTACACTTGCGGAACGGCAGCGCGACCAGCGATGGAATCGCAGCCCAAGCATCCGAGGCGCGAAAGCGTCAGCACTACGCTCGTCCTGGAAACGTGTCCTTTGACGAACGCAGCTTTAAACTTACCACCTTAGCCGTGGAAAGCTTTGGCCGCCTTGGAGAGGAGGGTTACGAGTTCATCGATGAACTTGCGACACATGCCGTGGGAGGAAGGGACGGAGGAACGATGGCTCTGAAAGGAGTCTTCAAGGAACGACTTCTTCAGATCGTTTCGGTGGCTACACAGGTGGCCATATCTCGGCGAGTGCAGAGGTACAAGCTCGCATTGCGCGGGCGTCAAGACGCCGAAAACAGGCGAACAAGATCGACCTCGGACCAGTCAACGCCAATGATATGGGGATGGAGTGTAGACGCATCGTAGAACGCGTTTTCGTTTGAGGTTGGCGTCTTGTTTGAGAGTAGATGTGACAGATTTGCGTAGAATAGGGTAAGATGTTATCATGAACGGAGATGAAAGGGCTTTTCCAACACGGAGATGTAGCATGAATCAAAGCATTTGTTGGATTTCAGCTTTTACAAGAGGACATCAATTCAGTAGTATTATAGCAAGCTTACGAACGCATATAGGATACCATGAGGATTGTCATTGGTTTTATTTCAAGTTGACGAGGAGATATTTTTACGATGTAAATGACAGTAGAAATAAGTCCTACATATATATATATGTTGTTGTACTTCGTATTGGTTTAATATTCATGTAGAGTATGAGACATGAAGTGAAAGGTTTCTGGGGTACATCTACAATTGTCGGAAGGCAAAAAAAAAAGAAGATATATATATATATATATATATATAGCCCACAATAGGAATTCGAGGCTGGACCTGAAATATGCGTTTCTTAACTGCCTGCGCCAACTGTATGCATTTGCCTACTACCACTGCTGTAGCAGACTATATGTACGCGTGGTTTGGTGTTGGTGTCAGTACTGTGGTGTTGCAAGCGGGTTTAATCCCGATATTTTTTTATTAAATATAATGTCTGCAGTGCCAGGACCAATAGTAATATGAAATACTGCAGAAGAGCGCGCCACCACTCAAGAACCGCGGATGATGTATGTATGTATGTTGCGTGACGCTCGACACTTTTTGGTTGGCTCAAACCGAGCCCGTGTTTTTCATTTCCAAGATTTTTTAGGAGCAGACATCTACCAAGGAAAATGGGGTTCTTGTTCATATTTCTACACCGATTGCCCCAAAAGAGCACACAGATAGATAGGTCTTTCTGGATGGACTTTAACGTGACACGAAGGGTACAAAGGCGTGTTGCACCAGCAGAAAGCCGGGAACCCCTCACGAGTGATTGTGATTGATTCGGCTCCGAGTGCGAAGACCGGGTTCACGTAGTTGCGGAATGTCCGTTGTACGACAGGGAGAGAGAAATGTGCATGTCTGAGCTGGGAACATACAAGGGAGGTACAGTGAGATGTTTGAAGCAAGCATGGAAATGCCATGAGACGGTACAAGTAGGTAGTTTTCGTAGGGAAAAGTGGGTTGAAAAGGCGGGAAGTGATGTCGTTAGGAGATACTTGAAGGAATCTTGTTTTTTAGCCTCCTTGGCAAAGTAGGAAGGAACGATTTGCCATGTTTGATTGTTCCTGCGAGAACAATGCTCCGTCCTCTCGAGGGTGCGTGGTCAATAGTCTATCTGCTGGGAATATACTTATTATATTGCAAAACATGCGTAAGCCCCCCGCCCTCTCCGCGCGAACAAGCAGTATTTCACGAGGTCCCCCGCCCCCTCCCGCCCCGAATCTGAAAGTAACCACTGATGTAGGGGTCACCCCCCACCTTCCTGGGGGATATCTTGCAGCCGCCGTGTTTTGGGGCTCCGTTCTTATATCTGTGTGCGCATTGGTACGTTGGTACACAAATGCGTTTTGTCGTTGTAGGACATCTCGGAACTGAGCACCTGTCTGTCTGCCTGTTCCCGTTTTAAACTGACCGACTTTTTGTCAAAATGTTTGAAAGTGTCAAAAAATGGAACCTGTATGTAGGCGTTTGTCCATATTTTTTCAAAATATTTGGAACGAAGTTGGGCGCGAAAACTTTGCTCCACTTCGTTCCAACTTTTTGACAACCCTCTCAAAGTATTTGGAGCACTTTCCAAAGTACCCTTGCAGAGGCACGCGAGGGCTGCTGCGTCTGCACCACGAGTGCCCCTCACCGTAGAAAGTCAGCTAGGGTTGTGTGTGGGTCATGGCCGACCGTAGAAAGCGCGGCGCGCCTACAGATTCGAGCGGCTCTCCTCGCCCACGGGCACGCGCAATAAAAAAAAAAAAACGGCGGTCCGCCATGATGGCTTGCAGTTGTTGCTTCGCGTCCGCCGCTTTGTTTTTTCCTTTTCCCGGGGGGGTAGGAGCAGTGGTTGCCACCCCTCGCCGGCGGAGTGTTGGTGGCGGCAGCGCCTCCCGTGGTAACATGAGTGTTCCCCGAGATGCCAGGCAGCAGCACTATCTTGCTGGAGAGCAAGCCTCCACCGCCTACGGCGGCACCGAGAGAGCCCGTCTGCTGGAATTTCGCCGGGGTTTTGGTCTGCCGGCCACGCTGGGTGGTCGTGATATCCATGTCGGTGTCCATGATGTCGTGTTTTCCGCGGTTTGTGTTGTGTCGTCTGTGTTGTCTCGAAGTGAGCGCTACAACTCACGGACGGCGTCATTTTTTTTTACACAAGTTGCACAAGTCTACGTCACACGTTTAAAATGACTGGTGCACACAGGTTCCAAGTTTTTGAAAGACAACTGTCGAAAATTTTGACAAAAAAGTCGGTCCGTTTAAAACGGTCCAAATTGTATGGACTAGTATATGTATGGCCAAGTTCTTCGATATTCTTAGAAATCTAAAATGTGTGTAAGTTGCAAGTGCAAGCAGTCACAAAAAGACGACCGGTTCGAGATATAACTCCATCAGTCGAGGGGTGTGTGTTGAAGTCTGCAGTGCGCAGCTTCTCTTGGTGTCTTCACACGGCACACGGCACACGGCTGTCTGGCAGCCAGGGTTCGGGTTCATGTGCCGCTTCGGGAGCAGCTTCCAATAAATCTCTCCGCATTTTGATGCCGTCAGCCGCCATGTGGTGTCAGACTCAGAGACAGCGGCGCAGAGACAGCGGTTTCTCGCGTGTACATTCCATGGGTCACGTGTTTCTCTCCTAGAGCACATAATCGATCTCTTCAGTCACAAGTATGAGGATGGGCGTACTCTCGTCACCATTTCTACTCTTATTCGCCTCGAGCACCTGCCTCGCATTTCATCCAGATGTGCCAACCACAATCACATCAACAACAGCATCCTCAGCTAGGCGGGGTACGACTAGTCAGAAGCGACAGCTCCGAATGATGCATTTTGAAGCAGCAGACGGGGCCAGTGTTATTGAAGCCATTGACCATGCTACTTGGATTCTGGCGGTGGCAGCAGATTCTTCTCGAGGGGGAGCTGTCGTGGAGCAAATCCCGTATGTTCCAGGCGATGTGGCAGATTTCGATAAGATCGTAATCGGGAGTGCAGCTTGCCTTGCTGCTTATGCCTGGGCGGCGTACGAATTCGGAAAGGTGAGCCCAAGAGACGATGTAGAAATGCTCAAGGTTTCATGAGGATACATCATGTCGGGGCGAAGACATACTACATTGAACAGGAGAGTGCGATACAGTGGCGGCCAGTGGCGGCCGTAGCCGCCACTACTGCTTCATGTGCATATATGGTGCAGTGTAGACTGTGCAATTGCTCATTTTTTTTTTGTCTATTATTTCGGCAGTTGGTGCGGTCTCATCACTGCCCATGTGCTATTTGCAAGCACGGCAGGTAGGTTGGAACATGATTCGGCTGCTCAAAAAGAGGTTCATGTCCGTCCTGAACGCTTGTTCTGCTTTACTCTTCCTGATTACCTGCCTACTACTGTGTCAAACCACCGGTAACAACGCTTTTGTGCCTCGCGGGCTACACATCCTTGTAGCGAATAGTGACGCAGCGCGCGTGTGAGGTGTGCAAGGGCTCAGGGCTGGTGAGCACATCGCGTTCCGGGAAGCAGCTCAGACAGCCCAAGAAGTGCTACGCCTGCGGCGGGTTCTTGCCTTGGGAGAGCTGGGGCAAGTTCTGGAAAACGAACATGGACGTGGGAAACGGAGGCGTTCTTCAAAGGCCTGCCAGGGACTACGACGAGCTGAACGAGGTGCGTGTGTGTTTTGTTTTCTACACGTCATAGCATCGACTGCGCTAACCAGCTGACCAAAAAAACGACGTCACTCTCAGTGAGTTCAAAACACAATATGCTTCAAAAGGCCATGATGGGACCTCGTGAGGGGGCGTCACGGGGGAGGATCTGCTAAAGTCAGATACCGCAGTAATAACAGAAGAAAACTAGGTGTTGCATACTATCGTGGCTACTTTGTACACGCGTTCGTTTCGGGGTGTTCTCATCAGCATCGGCTGCACCCTTCCTCGCGAAAAAAACAAACAGTATGCACCGCAGGAGAAAAATGGGATACGAAACTAAAAAGAGAAAGGAGAAGAATGCCCCGGTGTTTACCCCCTCCTGGGCGATCCTGGGTGTAGTTGTACGTGTACGGTTGTAGTTGTACAAAACATACACTGAAACACGTGTAGCACACGTCTCACCACGAAAAATGGTGGAACTGTCGCCAAAATAAATAGGACGAAACACACAACACACATCCCTGCATTTACTTCCCCCACTCTCGTCGCTGACATTCCCACTACTTTTTGGCAGGTCCTTTCTTGTCCTGCGGCGTTTGTTGTGTGTGTTTTTATTATTTGCATCGACCGCGCTAACCGGCTGACCAATTAAAAGACGTCAGTGCCAGCGGGTAAAAATCAAGGTCCCTGGAAGGAGGCCAAAATTCGAAAAATGCGCAATGCGCTTGATGCGAATGCCAATACGACTCTCTCCACATGTTCTTTCACGTAGACACACATCTCAGCTACACAAATGCATTCGCTCGAATCTAGGAAGCCACTGATGCAAAGAGCGGAGGACAGCAAAAGGGTTATTTCAAGCCCAGCCGAAGCCAGGATATCGTGGTATGCTGCATCTCCCAATTTGATGATCGTACACTCCCAAGATCCAACAGTCATCGTGTGAGCAGCTAGATGGATCAAACAAAACAGCAACACATACACTGCCATAGCTCCACGCACGCCCTCGCCCGAACCTAGGAAGCCACTGATGCAAAGAGCGGAGGACAGCAAAAGGGTTATTTCAAGCCCAGCCGAAGCCAGGATATCGTGGTATGCTGCATCTCCCAATTTGATGATCGTACACTCCCAAGATCCAACAGTCATCGTGTGAGCAGCTAGATGGATCAAACAAAACAGCAACACATACACTGCCATAGCTCCACGCACGCCCTCGCCCGAACCTAGGAAGCCACTGATGCAAAGAGCGGAGGACAGCAAAAGGGTTATTTCTGTTGTGTGTGTGTGTGCGCGCGCGTATTTCATTTTGGGGGCGTGCGCCGGGCCCACCTGTGGTCGTTTCGAAAATCTGCCATCGTTGTGCCACCGACCCTCCCGTGGGTCCGTGTTTTGGATTTTGCACAGCAGTTGGTGTTATCCCAGGATACTGTCTCCCTTGAATACTACAAAGTATAGTAAAATAGTTGTTGTGCGGACACACATGCAGCAGCGCACCCAGTCTATCATTCACCGACCGCCGCTTTCGTTTGCTCGCGTACACAACTGACGTACCCACCGTCTCGCGAACTCGGTTTTGGTGCTCAGGCCGCAAGAGCAGCAAAGGAAGGCCAAACAACACCATCAATCGAGGACGACTAGCAAACCCGCCCGTGCAGCAACGAAACCGAGCAGGAGCAAGCGCCCGGTTGGTTGGGCTCTTGCTTGCAGATCAGCCGTGTGAGACACCATGATTTATTTGTTCACCACGGCAATATGTGGAGAGTCCGGTGCGCACCCAAGGTGCCACGCCCAGCTATTGGCGGGACTTATTTTTCCATGAGCACAATGCGCGGTAGTTTTTACAATGAGTTCTTCGCAATATTAGGTTCTTGAGGGGTCCCGAAGTAATGTAGTAGCGCTTTCCCGGGAGATACATGCGTCTCAGAGAACCCCTTCGTGGCACATTTATTCTCCCACTTGAATGTAACCAGTACAGGGGACAGGAAGTCGCGTGCCGTGTACAACGCGACCGGTCTCAAACGCAGTCAGTCGCGTTTTTCGCGTGCAATAAAGGACGGCGGGCCGGGCTCGCTGCCTCTCTCCTTGCCTGCGCAAAAATTGAAGCTCGCAGAAAAAAGCAGCCGCAAAATGAGTTGGAAGGGGAAGGGGAAGGTTGCCAGAAATTTGGCCAGTAGCTGCAGCAGTAAACCGGGATTCGAGTTGAGAGTATGAGTCGTTCGAGGCATAGACGTATAGCAACGTCACAGAAGTAGAGATATGTTTTAGAGACGACACCCAAAATGGGATTGTCCGCCAAAAACATGAAACAAGGTTGTGCGGGAGGGTTCCAGATAAAGGGTGGCGCTAAACGGACCCGCGGGCACTCCACTGTTGGCAGAGAGAGAGGGCCTAGGGGTGCCCCTGGAATGTGCGTGATGCATGAGAGCGACATCAAGGACAGTGAATGTTCTAAATAGCAGAAGCAGCGGTGCGCTGCCCGTACAAATATCGGACATTTATATTCTTGCACGTGGTGTTGAGGGCATCAGCTGCGACAGAACCGTCTATCGCAAAACAGGGAGAGCAAGGTCATTTTCGGCACTAGAACCGAAGCACATCAATAGGTATCCAAACAACTTGCTGCCATAAATGTGCAGAAAATGAATTGCTCCGTGCCCCTCATGGCCATTGATGCTGTGCCACGTGCTTGGGGGAGGATGGGTTCAGCAAAATTGAGCAACGCCTTGATGAATCGCGCACTCGCTCACACGCCAATTGATATGCATTCGTATTATATCAACGTCAGGGACACACAGTCCACTCCCCACGCGGAATCAGCTACTCAGCTCAAGTGGTGTAAAAAACAGCTGTCAAGCGTGGCCTCCTCTCCCTTGCACAACCACAACAAAAAAAGAGGACAAATACATTGCCAGTGCACAAAAAAAATAGATACAATTATGGGCAGCTGCGACCGGACCGCCTACGCAGGAGTTCATGAGTATCTAGAAAAAGAGCAGGGAGGGGGCACGCAGACCCTATCCATAACCCTAACCCTCCTAACTCCAAAGCACGGATTGTACACTTTATCTCACATGTTTGCGTAGATCAATTTTGCTGCGTCGACTACTGCCGGTGAACCACCTGCAGATGCACTCTAAATCACACTAAATCACAAGACACCCGAATGAGTCAACCCCCCCATCGTGGAACATGA